ATAGGACAACGCTTATATACGTAGGATTTGGGGTTATAACAAAGAAGGAGACACGATTTTAATGGGGCATGATATAACCAGTCATATTGTCTACTCTGCTGTTTAAACTTTGTTAGCCCCAGATGACGACGATAATAACAACAATGTAAGAACTATGCTTTGTATAGGAATCGATGATGATCATCGATTTGAAACAAAATTTTTACCGTTGCACCAGCTCGGTAAAGGAGGAGCCACCGGCGTTGCATCTGCGTCATCGAATCGCTGGAACAGCTCTGCGAGATAACTTTCCTTGTATATGCCTGGCGGTCGGGCTTTCGCAAATTCAGCAACAGCAGCTTCAACGCTAAAATGGAGAAGCGCGAGTAGTGAGACGGCATCATTTCGGAAAATTTTACAAACAGCGATCGAGGCTGCTCAGATGGTAGAGCGCTTACCACAGCATCGAGAGATCCAGGGTTCGAGCCCCGGTCCGGTCACTCGCACCTCTTCCTCCCGAAGTTGATAAACCCGTATCCCTCTGTGAAAATGAAGCAGGAAATTATCCACTATGCTTGCCACATAGCAGTTGTTGACTCTGTGTTTTACAGTAAGGAACTTCTGGCTGGTGGCATGGAAATGGAGATCAGCGTTCCAGCAGTAAATTCATGAAGAATGGAGCGCCAGAAATAACCCCATCATGAAAGTGTAAAAATGACCGACTACCTACCCACCAACGGTTACAATCTTTCACTGTCTTTACTACAAACAGCAGTCGGCTCATTGAATCATTCTTGGACGATTAAAGATATCCATCACCTGTTCGCTGCGAACAAACCATACAAGCTTCCAAGATGAGCACTCATGCACAGACAATATCTCTGTGCCGAATCGAATCATGGAGCCGTGCCGGAGCTTCCAACTTCCCTGACAGCCTTCCATTCAGCTCATCTCTAGACAATGTGGCGTGTTATTTGTCACTATGGGACTCCGTAGGCGAAGGAAAACCTGACAGAAGGGTTGTATCAGAGAAATATATCCTGTCTGAACTGAAAGATCACTATCAGGTTGGTTCAACATTATCATTTCAACATTATCTGCAGTTTGTCAAGGCGATGGGCTTTCTCTCTTGCGATTTAGCATCATGGCGAACTATGTTATGCAGAAGTGCGTCGTCTCAAAGAGCAACCACGAATTGACTGCTGATCAGCGACGCAGACTGAGAAACCTAACACTATTCTTGACAGACCTTAAGTATGCCCATGACATTGTGCTGCTACATGACTCCGCAGTTGGTCTACTGATATTTACCGAAAGCGCCTGCAACACCACTGTGGGAGTCAGGCTATAAGTGAACGCCAAAAGACGAAGATTATGAGAGCACCCGTCGCTACCTGCAGTCAAAGGATATTACGATGCAATTAAGAAGGATAAAGTGGAGAATTTCAAGTACCTCTGAATTGTGTTGATAACGATGGCAACATTGATCCTGAACTGAATCGGCATATCAGATTGATATCAGCGAATTACGGCACGCCATATAACACAGGAAGGATCGGACTATATGAATAGACATGAAGAACACCATTCCGAAAGCAGCCGCATTCGCGGTGTTCCTATACAGACTCGAAACATCTTCCGTTCTGAAGCTTCATGAAGTTTGTTCAGACAACGCCCAACAACAATGTTTGAAAGCATCCTCAAAATGCGATAGTACCACCGGCTCACGAACGTCAAGTCTATGCTACCACCGGTCTGAGAAAACCATCAGATGAACTCCGCGACCGGCGCCTAGACTTTTTTAATAAAACAGCTCAAAAATATAATGAAAAATACATTCAAAACTCTTCTCTTGGGAACAGCGCACTGGGTGCAGATGCGTTGGTGGAATACAAAACGAAGAAAATCCTCACTGAAGCAGACCTTCTTGTGAAAAATATGGTCATTGCAGCAGCAGTGAACTTCGCCTAATATCAATCTGAAGTACAAATCTAGTCTCAGACGTCATAAACCTGCTGCTATAGATCGATTTAGCTGTTAACCCGAGGTTACGATGACAAAACAACTCATCGAAAAATTAATGACTAAATTTTCTGCGATAACACTACATCATTTCTTTTAACAAAATACTTGGGACAGCGAGTAAAATGTAGAAATCGTTCCGTTTCAGACCAATGAAATCTTAATCGAATCTTAATACTGTTTCACAATTTACTGTCAAACAAGCGTACCTTACTAAAGATAAAGCTTGAGCTTTCTGTCAAATTCTGGAATATAACAATCTCAGGAAAGTCCTTGACAGCAGAACCTCATGTTCTAGTTGTAGAAGACTAACAATGACTTGGATGTCACAGGTTGGTGGTACGCGCTTTTTTAACTCTTATGGTAGCCGTCTAGACTTGTCAAGAACCCTTAAAGGATGGGTCAACGAAGTTCTGGTGAAATCTATAGAAGCTCTGAATGATTCTTCCTTTCTAATACTTAGTCTTCCCCAGACTGACCTGAAGTTGTCTGCAAGGATCCTCACCCGTGACTACATACGAGTGACAGAGCAGTAACAGCATCGCATCAAAGAACGTTTAAGAATCGTTGGCAAACGGGTGATCCGAAAAGTATCTGACAATGGCTGGCAACAACTGATGCCGTTCACAGAGTTTTGCCAATGGCGAGATAATCAAATCTATTGCAATTTTTTCCTTCAGTAAGTTATCTAATCGAAAATACTATCAAATTACAATGCGCCTAAAAATTGTTGCCATATTTTCTTTATCCTCACTGTACAATAGTGGTCCATAATCCTTTAATCAGTCCTGTAAGCAGCATATCCTTAGCTTGAACGCACACTGGCTCACTGGCGGATGATTTCAGCATTCCTGACAAGCCTATATGGCTACTAGACAGGTAAAGGTAAAAACAGCATACAGTACTTCGCCCTGAAATTAGACCGCGCATTTCAGTCGTTGTCCTTCTGGAAAATGAATTTTTGGGGCCGAGAACAGAGCCAGAGAGAATGGCTCATTTACGTAAAGACTATCTGTTAAGAAACCTGCCCGCTAGGAGCATCCACTGTTCTAAACTGCTGAACCTCTGTATTCGCCGTCCTGAACAGCGGAGAGAGGGTGCAATATTCTCGCGCATTCAAAAAATTCCTACCCTGTCTACTAAAAAGGCTTACCTAAAATTTTTCGACGATAATCTGAAGGCGAGTGAATGATTACCTCCAGCGGGACTTATCAATGCATTAATGATCCACAAGTTTAATGATAACGTAAAAAAGTTTAACAGTGCGGATAGCTAGTTAGTGCTCCCCGCCCTCCAAATGGCCCAATGACTCCCTGTAGTAACTAGACTACAAACCATTAGCATAACTCTGAGCAAAGGTTCATGTGCACTGGACAAGTTCATCAACGGTGTTGAAAACTGTGTGTTCCCTGCAGATACACCAAAAAATTATTAGAGCAAAGTGAATCGCATCGGACTGCATTAAACAGAATTTGGTGGCAACATCTGAGAAACCTTAATCAAGCAGCGGATCGGAAAAGTATGATGATGATGATGATGGCATCATAAAATTAATCTGACCTAGGCTGAAGCAGATGCCAGCTGCAATCAGTATGGGCTTCTCTGATATCCATCAGAGTACAGGATACCGAAAGTGTCACTTCCCTGGATTCACAAGGCGTAATCGCGCATGTCATGGTGACCATAGGTGGCAACACTAACTAGCTTCGGTCCGTAAACCCAGCATGTAACATGGGCATTATTTGGCTCATACATAAAACATTATCTGTTCAGAAGATCGAACGCTGAAATCAGAACTTACCTCCAGCTGTCCGCCGTTACCAAATAGTTTGCAATTAAAAAGCCGGTTCGGTTGAAGCCGTGAGTGCAATGCACAGCTGAAAAAAGTTTGCCTGTAATGCAAACAGATGCGGTCGTTAGCTTACCGATTAGAAGGTCCTTGTTGTCACGAACGAAATTCTGACAAAGTTTTATGAAGGCGCTAGTCTGCTCCTGTGTGGGGCATTCACCGTGCCTAAAAGCAGACATTAAAAAAGCAAATGCAGCAGTTAATATTCGCATCTGAAATATACCCTCGACATTTGAGCTTTACGTACTTGACGCCAGCGTCTTCAATGTCCCTTCGATCGTAGAAGCGGCAAGTGTTAGTCAAGTCTATCCACATACCAATTTTTCCCTTAAGCATAATTACACTTTCATGAGTAATGTTCTAGGAATAATGAACTATCTTCTACAACACGTACGAAAAAGATTCAATATGTCTGTAAATATTAAGACACAGATATAAATTATTAAGTCGATACACTATCGACTTACGATCAAAATATCGTCAGCTGAAGTCCCAGTCAGGTCAATGGCTTTTCATCCTCCCAAGGTACCGAGGTAGACAAAAGCGTAACCTCGGAGGGAAAAGAAACAGGATATTCCCTGTTAGACTTGTCACAGCTGCAGACACTGCCTTTATCACCTCACAGACTGATAGCACAGAAATGAAGGTAAGCGACGGCATCACATGCCCCGCAAAAAGATGAATACCGCAAATTGGAAAATGTAAGGCCGACTGCTCAACGGTTACAAACTTTGCATTTTTATCATAAATATATCTAATAATTATGAGTGTTCACTTAGTAGCGCAGAAGCATGAAGAATGTCGCAAACGAGTAAAAACTTTCATGTTACTCACTGTAAGTCTTCTTGGACAGCATACGCAAGTTATTAATCAAATCAAGCTTGCTCAGTGCCAAAGCTAAACGGGTTCGACTGCAATTCATTGCATCCGTGAGAAAAAGCAACTGATACAAGGAATACAAAAACATCAACAGCAGAGAAAAATCGAGGCGAACGACCTCGTTTTCACAAGGTCATATAGAGGTAGAACTCAAAGTCAGAAAACCCTGTAACCAGCAGCCGGTATAATAAACTACGTTTCTATACAGGTTAAAAGTCAGAAGCTAATTGTTTTCCGGCCGTTAGCGAATAACAAACAGTAACACGGTACGATCAGGAAGCACACTGTTTAGCATGCAAATGGTTGTGGTTAACAATAATACAATAAGGATCAATTTTCAGGACATCATCAGTTAAAAGTTCCGTACATTAAGATCCTTTTGATATCAGTCAACATATATTTATTAGTAAACAGACCGTTTTGCATTTTTGCAATTTCATCAAACAAAGTCACAGGGCACAATCAAACCGCCGCCTCCTTCTCGAAGCATAGCGCATCACTTAAGTACGCAAAAGGTCGACGGTATTTTAGCATCTGCAACACACATGAGCATATCGTAAGATTATTATAGGTTAGAACAATACCTCATTCTATATCGATGTTTTTATACTTACTGTTAACACTGCCGTAAACTTTGCAGCTAACAACAGTATACCAATAATAGTACAAATACTGCTCTAGTAGCAACCCTTTGAATAACTTTAATGCCCCCTTAGTAGTTGACTCATGACTTTCTAACAAGAGTGATTTGCAGACTCGTGCGAAGAAAGATTTTAATTTCATTTCATCCTCAAAAGAAAAAGACTTCTTCAAGTAAATAACATAAAGCACAGCGCAGAACAGGAAAAAGGTCTCAAATGAGGCCTAAGCTTCTGAATTAAAATTATTCTGCCGTATAGGTATGCAGGTCTTTGTTGCTAAGAAGCTGAGCATGTCACCTGCCTGGTGCGGAATTTCTAACACGAGTTTCTGAGAAAATATTAGTAATATTTCAACTCATCGCTAGTACCGCTACATACATCAGGAGCAGTAACAGTCGCAATATTGGTAAGCTGTACCAGCAATAAGTCGCAACGCCACCATTAGCACTGCTAGCAGGAAGACTTAGCAAAGCTCTTATCGCCTGTTTCAGGAACAATACCACCAGTGCTGCTAGCAGTGTTACTACTACTCGTATGAGTATGAGATTATGTAGGAACGCGCATAATTTCACCAAAGCTGGTTACATGGCTACTCTGCTTTAAAATCTCTGTGGCATTAAGTCATTTAAGCAGGCCACAACTGCAAGATATTGTAGCATCTGCAACGCACAGATACACCTCGTGTCATTTCACTGACTTGAGCAGCACCCCGTTAAAGAAGTCGCTATTTTGCATATACTTTTCCAGCAACATCAAAATGAACGTTAATACGCAATAAATATGCTAATACGGATATCTAGGCAAAACCGGGGTACACGGAGTTACGGAACAGTTCCATTGCTCTTAGACGTTCTCATTTAAGCAGACTGTCGCTCAATGATACTTTAGAACTTTACATCCATATACGAAGTTAGTATAATTACTACGAGACAATGCAGTACCATGCTCATCATCAATAATGACTTTCTACTTACTGGCCATAAATACTAATGGCGTCAACAGGGGCAAAAATTATATTGCATTGGGACTTGAAGCAATCCTACCATGAAGAGTGATACTATTATAACCCATGGTACATACAGCAATAGCAACAATGAACAGTAACACTGCAGTAACAGCAACACTGTTCTAGCAACAGAGATCACAGCACTTCTGATACTGACAGTAGTAGTATTTATACATATTGCTAGTACTACTATGTGCCATAAATAGCTATTATACTTCGACTTTTGCATACCGCGCCATGTTTTGCCTTCGAAGTATTGATCTGAGAATTCGTACAATGCATCCTGACGGCTTGATTACGTTCAAGCATTGGTACTCTTTCCAGCAGCTGCCACTCACGTAATACGGCTATGCGGTGCAATTTTATATACTCATACATATCGATGTAAGGGCAAAAGCTGTTAACATACTGCCGAACGGAGCTGAAACGTAATTCAACCATTCCTTCCTTCGTTTTCATCATGAAGAAATCTTCCTCATTTGCTGGTAAATGGTGCAAACAACCCCTTAATCTGCGAAGCCCTTAACGTGAATTTTTGCTCCAATTTTGCCGGTGAAAGAGATGGTCAAATTTCGTATATTCAAGCAATCAACTACAAACACTACAGAAGGGTAGGGAGCCATCGTCCTTACTGATCTCCAGCGAATACACGTTCATATTATTTTATCATGTTGTGGCTTACCGTAAAATAATGACTAATGAGCAACATGAAAAAAGAAGTGTCTATAACCCGTTGGAATGTTAATCTTCCTTGCAGTTTCGTTATGGGGCTATTTTTGACACCACATTATTTTCGTCAATTTAGTAGGGTGCAGATCTGCATTTCCATGCCATCAGCCAGTGACTTGTTTTAGGGGAAGAGTCGAAAACGGCTATGTGGAAAGCACAGTCTGTAGGCCTGCTTCCTTCCCACAAAATGGTATTCATTCATAAACCTCGACAAGAAAAAACGTAAGTAACTCAACCGGGTCTCGAACCCGGTTTCTCTCCGTTCAGACTCAGAGGCTCTATCGATAGAACAGCATGAGCAGTATAAATGAATAGTTCAGAAAATGCTTCACGGGCGATATCGGGAAACGGAGACAAATATAACATCCTTTGCTATGACTGAATGTTCAAGGCAAATAAACGACTTCCATATTAACATATCGACGTCATCATTTCACTGAATAGAGTTTGACATCATTCAATAGTTAGTTCGTAACA